CCTCCATATAATAGCCCATGAAGACCTATGGGTACCTCTATATAACAGTCCTCGAGGACCTATGGGTACCTCCATATAATAGCCCATGAGGACCTATGGGTACCTCTATATAACAGCCCTTGAGGACCTATGGGTACCTCCATATAACAGTCCGTGAGGACTTATGGGTACCTTCGTATAATAGTCCTTCACATAATAGCTCTTGGCGCCTTCCCCTTATAGCCTTATTTGATCATTAACCTTTGACCCGGCGTAGGGAAATACGCAGACAGACACACAGACACACACTGAACAATATATATATAGATAGATAAGAAATCCTATAGGAATCCGACGGTCGGAATACCTATCAGTTCCCACAGTCGGATATGATCGGAATTCCTAACGGATCCGACGGTCGGATCCATTAGTGATTCCGATACACGGAATCCTATCGGATTTTGTCGGCTGGTCGGATCCTATGGGATCCGATCGGATCCGCTATCGGATTGGTGGACCTGGGAGGGTGAGGCTGGGTGAAACGAAAAATTTTTTTACCCAATGACTCGACACTAAATTGATATCATTCAATGCAGAATTTCACGCTGAATCTTACTCAACCATTTTTAGACTCAACTCAAGTAATATATCGAATCCAGGCGCCAAATACTTTTTCCAAATTTTGGAAAAATACAGCATTTTTGGGATCAAGTACCAGTTTTTGCTTGATAACCTCGCATGATCTTTACGCTATCAGATTCGTCGTAAAATTTTGCACCTAACTCAAGTACAGGAGCGAATCCGAACAGTAAAAACTCGAATCTGGTGCTAACTTTATCTAGGTAATTATGAATAACATTGAATAGAGGTATTATTCAAGCTGCGCATGAAGGAAAGATGTTGAGCTATTTGAAAATGTCTTTCATATAGAACTTATCCAACGAGATATAGAAAGAGAGAAATACAGTGCCATCTTTACATTTATTCCATTGTCGTCAACTGAAATAATAGAAAAATTTATCATTGTGTCCATAGTCGGTCTGGATCATGTTATAGATAGACTGAATATATATCTATATAAATATTTACATCTCTAAGTCAAAAAATATATCTGAATTGAATTGAAAATTAAAATGAAACAATCATTAGTTGAATTAAATGATTTACCAGATGAAATTCTAATAATGATTTTGAGAAATTTACCAACGTATGAAGCAATCTATACTTTTATTGGTCTCAATAAACGATTCAATAGACTTGTACATGATTCAACTTTTACAAATCGTTTAACATTAATGACATATAAGTGGGAGCACTTTATTGGTGCATTACCTGATCGAATGCTTGATCAATTTTGCATACAAATCTTACCCAAAGTTCATCATAAAATTCAATGGCTTGAGCTTGAATCATCATCTATGAATCGTGTACTTCTTGCTACCGATTATCCCAATTTATATGGACTTAGTTTATATAATCTTAATACAAAACAAGCTAAACAACTGTTTTCTGGTAAGATATTTCATTTCAATAACCTTAATTTATGAGTAATTTTGAAAGTATTAGAGGAAAAAAAATGAGAACTATTCTACTACATATAGATGTGTTGATGATTGAATATTTTATTCAGTAAATTCATAAGAAGATAATGTGAATATCTTATTTATTTTTTTTGAGAATTAAGATATTTAGAAAAATTGTTTGTCTCTTGTTTCTATGAAATATTTGAATATTATTCTTAGAATGAATAAAAATAACCAAGTTAAAAAAAATCGTTTCTTTTCCATCAGCACGGAAATGGACGAATCATAATGTTATATCATCCTTTGCGGCTGCGATAATGTATTGCAGTATTGGATGATTGTCTGATACTGACATAACACTTTATTTTTGTTTAAAGAATACAATTAGAATTTTAATATTTTCTATGATCAAGTATATGTACATGAATGAATTATAATTTTGTTGTACTGTCTTGAAAAAAACGAGGGACAAACTTCTTTTTGAAAGTTAATGAGTGGTACTGTTGATCATACTACTTGAGAGGATAAAAAGGAAAAAATTTTCTCAACCATTACTATTGGTACGATTGTGATATGCGAAAATCATTTACAACTCATAATAAAATGCCTCAATACAACTTTTTTGTGTTGTGGAACTCACATATATTTTCGAAGAAAATAGTGAGTGTAAGTTTTAAATCGAAGTTTTGCGGCTTCCCCCCCCCCCCCCACCCCTAGGCCCCCACCATTACAGACACTTAGCAACGCAGGTCCCATTACAGACCTTAGCAACGGGGAACAATAAGAACTGGTTGCTTTCCTATGTCTCCTTAGCAACCATATGGCGGATAACCATACATTATTGGATATGCTTCCATGGAAACGAGCTCCCCCATTACAGACCGTTACAAACAAATTAATTAATTAGCTAACTAAAAAAATTATTTTTTAATATTTAAAAAATTATTTTGTGGAACTCACATATAAAATATGTGAGTGTAACTTTTAAGTCGAGGTTTTCCGGCACTCCCACTCCCCTTACAGACACTTAGCAACGGAAGCCCCTATTACAGACCTTAGCAATCGAGAATAACAGGCATCAGGCTTTCCATAGTTTTTTGCAAAATCGATCAAGTTATAAAATTAAAAAACTTAGAAATTCTTGATTTTATACTTTCTACATTTGATATTAGTATAATAAAGCTGAAGAACATATGTGAGTTCCACATTTCTCCGCTGACAAGCTTTTTATGTAAAACAAGCTAGGAAATACGAGAATTTTTGTTACAGAACGTTCAATACTATATAAATGAGAGAATATGAGTAATCGAAACAAGTACCTTTATATTTCGATCTTAACCCGAAATCTTATAATTTCACATGATATAACGATCTGTATGAATAATGTTTGAGTTTTGCTTGTATTTGTTATAAAAAAGAAAGAGCAATTTTCCTGAGGGATCCTAAGACTTATGAATCATCCTTTATAATCAAGAAATAATAGAATTTTCTCATCTGTCTTAGCGCTTTTATTTTCCATTTATAGACGTTGATTAAATGTCAGTTGGATTATTTTGAATTTTGAGTAAAAGAAATGTTCAAAAAACTATAGATCCTCATATCGAAAAATAGGTGTGAAATCTAATTTGTATTGAACGATCCAGTTAATTAAATCTTCAGTCTGTTGGAGTTAAAAATATTATGTTGTAATAATTTATTAGAATAGTGTTTTGAAGAGACAAGTACAGAAAATTTCATTAAAGTTCTAAATAATTCATTTTATTCTCTCGATATTATATTCTAATCTTTTTTTGTATACATTTAGGTAGAAAACTTTTAAATCATAATATAAAAAATCAAATTTCATCACTTGTAATTGATACTGATGAAGATAACACACATTTAACAAAAGATATCAGTAAACAAATTTGTACATATATTTTTACTACATTCATCAATTTAAAATATTTAAATCTTTTTCCATCAGTATCTCGTTGTCCTTCATTATCGTTTAACATTTCATCTCCAACTGTTTTCTCGTCAAATTTATTAGAATTGTATATTAATTTGATTAATTTCACTGATTGTTTTCATATACTTGATGGACGTTTCAATCAACTTCGTACATTACATGTTAAGGTGCCTATTATATGGTATTCGGATTTAGTTATCAAAAATAATGTAAATTTTTTTGAAAAAAAAAAGCATAATAATTTTTTTTTGTTTTGCTAGGAAAATCTGACTAATTTAAAATGTTTCTCGTTATACTGCAGTTCCATTTATAGTTATAATGGATTAATTGTGCCACTACTATGTCGAATGTCAAATTTGGAAAAACTTGGTTTGTATTTTTGTAAAGCGCGTGAAGTAAGATTTATTGATGGAAATAGTTTGAAAAAAATTACTAAACATATGTCACAACTAAACAAATTCATGTTTAATATTCGTTCATTAATTTATTTTAATGAAAAAATGAATTTACTATCAAATGAAGATATTCAATATACATTTAGAGATTTTAAAATTAATGATATTATTTGTTGTGTTGATTATTTTTTCAAAGAATTCGAAGGTCAATGTCTCATTTATTCAAATCCATATACATGGAAAGATTACAATAATATAACAAATAATTTTCCAGGTGGATTATTTCAAAATGTTCGTCGAATATCATTATTTGATGAACATCCATTTGAACATGAATTTTTTCTTAAAATTGCTCAATCATTTCCGTTTTTAAATCAATTCGATTTAACGAATCATCAACAACAAAAGAATAAACGACGTAGAATACCAAAGAATTTTCTAACCGTCAAATTTCCTCATCTTACTCAACTTTCTCTTAATAAAGTTCATGATGATTATGTTCAACAATTTTTAATCGATACGAAAACCTGTTTACCAAACAAAGTTGTACTTCGTATGGATTATGAACAACTCAAGAAAGTGACATACAATTTTAGAAGAGATACAACACGAACAAATTGTTCAAAAATACAATATTTTCTTAGGGATAATGTTCGTCGAATTCCAAAACATTTCAAAGACTATTTTCTTTATACAAATGTTTCTAATTCAATAAAAAAATAGTTTTTTTGAATTACTTGTATTTAACTATAGAAAAAAATGATTTTTGTATATACTTGAGGATGTATGGGCATTGTTTTTTGAATATGTTTATTACGTCTTCGACAGTCCACATCCTCAAGTATTCGCGATCATAGATTTGATGTTTGTTTCACCACAACACCGACAAATGTAGATATGTCTAGAGGGCTGCAGGGTACGCTATTTTGACAACCTGTAACCTGCCCT